TTACCTTGATATCATGTGTTCTTGATGTTATTTAACATTGCTGTGTGTGGTTTTGAAGGGATTTAGACCTATTTTATAAAAAATATCACCCTCAGTAGTAAAAGACTACAAGGCTGGTTACAGAGCGTCCACACCACCACTCGTCTTTAATAGCCGAAAAAAATATCTTAAATCCATCTTTTGCCTCCAAAATACCCTCAGCGGCATGTCTCTAGGATCCTTCTATCCAGAATTGGGCAACCTTTCAACGGTTTATAAATCCAACCGTGCCAAATTATCATGTTTGTACTCTATTCGGACTCAATTTTTGCATCCGGTCAACCCTTCATCCAGCTTGTTGGACACGGACTTTGACCGTCTTGMAAAACTCCCTCTGATTGGACGACAGTTTCCATGGAATCACTTCAAAAAACCCCGACTACTAGGGGAGTGCAGAAAATTGTACAACTGTCTACATCCCCCAAGGGCGCGCGGAAACCCGAAGCCGAACACGTGCACACAGCCGAACACGTGTTGTACAATTTTCTGCACTCCCTTAGTAGTCGGGGTTTTTTGAAGTGATTCCATGGAAACTGTCGTCCAATCAGAGGGAGTTTTKCAAGACGGTCAAAGTCCGTGTCCAACAAGCTGGATGAAGGGTTGACCGGATGCAAAAATTGAGTCCGAATAGCGTACAAACATGATAATTTGGCACGGTTGGATTTATAAATCGTTGAAAGGTTGCCCAATTCTGGATAGAAGGATCCTAGAGACATGCCGCTGAGAGTATTTTGGAGGCAATTAAAAGATGGATTTAAGATATTTTTTTCGGCTATTAAAGACGAGTGGTGTGGACGCTCTGTAACCAGCCTTGTAGTCTTTTACTACTGAGGGTGATATTTTTTATAAAATAGGTCTAAATCCCTTCAAAACCACACACAGCAATGTTAAATAACATCAAGAACACATGATATCAAGGTAAGATGATTTTATTAAAAAAAATGTTTTGTATGCTCTGCTTGGGTTGCCTGTGGATCTAGTGTTAGGCAGCGCGTATCTTTTCCAAGCAGCATATTTTCAGTTACCATGATTGGTTGATATAACAGGGATAAGAAGACTTTTATATAAATTCAAGAAAGGGGATCTAGCTTTACTTTGAGGAATTTTTGCTGTATTGAAATGATTAAAAGCGGGAATTAATCAAAATCTGCAAAAAAATTAAATCTCATTAAACAGCGGGAGTTATCTTTAAATCCCATACGCTTCCCTTTAGTGCGTCTCATCCGTTCTGTCATTCTTAATTCTGAATGTTCCGTGTTAAGAAATGTGTTTAGTAGCGTCAAAGACTATACACCATTGAGGATGGATGGGATTACAGCTGTACAGAGTATTTCCGAAAAGCCACATTTTTCATGCGAATACTAATCATATCGTTTACAAGAAAACCACCGAAAACGACGAGCGTATCTGGATCATTTGATGAATTTTTACCTGTCAACATTGACCCATCATAAGACCCATAACCAGAATCACGAGAAAGTCCAGACATCACCCCTGCGGTAACATATGAAGTCAAAACAGTTAGTCACGGACGGATACACAATAAGTTAACTAGAACATGAAATTACACCATACACTCACTCGCCAACNAGATTAGGAACGAAGTCCAGGATGAAAATCAGGTCTCAAGTTCAAGCAATTGTTTGAAACTAGACCTATTCGATTTTGTTGTAGAATATTAATCTTTTCTAACAGATTTTGGAAACTACTGTAGGTGAAGGTTTCTACACGCAGTATCTACTCGCAGTATCTGATACAAGATTTAGTGTTAGGCAGCGCGTATCTTTTCCAAGCCGGATCAGTTTTTCAGTGTGCCATGATTGATGGATATATATAACAGCGATAAGAACACTTTTTATATACATTTAAGAAAGAGGTTCTAGCTTTACTTTGAGGCATTTTTTTGCTGTTGTGAAATCATTAAAGAAAGCACGCGAAAAAAAATCTGAAAAAAAAATCTCTTTAAACAGCGGGATTTTACCTTGGATTGGGGGTCTCGTACGTTCCTTTTCTTTGAGTCTTATTCTGGGTTCTGAATGTTATGTGTAAAGAAATACATGTGTTTAATAGCGTCACAGAATATACACCATTGAGGTTGGATGCGTTTACCAGAGTATTTTAGAAAAAGTGTTTAGGACTCAGTATTGTTTGCAAGAAACCACTGGAACTAAAAGGCACACAGATTGGATAGTTTTAAAACATGCCGCAAATGTTGTACCTGGGCCTCAAGTGTGTTGGCTTTTTGAATATGCTTTGTGCAAGAATAGATGATAAAATTGTGACAGGACAAGAAAAACGGCTACTTGAACAAAAAATGCCAAAACATTGAAAAAGACCGAAAAAAATGCATAACAACAGTTGCTTCTACTGCACGGAAAAATAACAAATTAAAAGAAAAAAAAWTATCGGCAAGTCTGACCTTTGGTTTGGGATTAGAGATCGTAGGGAACGAGGCCCAGGATGAAAATCAGCAGGTCTCTAGTTAAAGCAATTGTTTGAAACTAGACCTATTCCATTTTGCTGTATAATATTAACCTTTTACAAATGAGTTGGGTAACTATTGTAGCTAATGGTTTTTGAAATCATTAAAAGTGTGAATTAATCAAAATCTGCAAAAAATAAACAATCAAATCTCATTAAACTGCGGGACTGAGTCTTACCTTCAATTCCCATACGCTCCCCTTATGAATGTTCCGTGTTAAGAAATGTGTTTAGTAGTGGATATAACAGGGATAACAAGACTTTTATATAAATTTAAGAAAAAGGGGGCCTAGCTTTACTTTGAGGGATTTTTTGCTATATTGAAATCATTAAAAGCGGGAATTAATTTGCAAAAAAACATAAATCTCATTAAATAGCGGGAGTTATCTTTAAATCCCATACGCTTCCCTAATATAGTACGTCTCATCCGTTCTGTCATTCTTAATTCTGAATGTTCCGTGTTAAGAAATGTGTTTAGTATCGTCAAAGACTATACACCATTGAGGATGGATGGGTTTACAGCTGTTCCGAGTATTTTCGAAAACACACATTTTTCGTATACTAATCATATCATTTACAAGAAAACCACCGAAAACGACGAGCGTATCTGGATCATTTGATGAATTTTTACCTGTCAACATTGACCCATCATAAGACCCATAACCAGAATCACGAGAAAGTCCAGACATCACCCCTGCGGTAACATATGAAGTCAAAACAGTTAGTCACGNCTAAAGTACCAAATGGCCGTGTGTACGTGCTTGGATAGAATGGACCAAGTCACACCGATTACTTCTGATTCATACACGTTGGTTAATTCCGAAGAATAGATTCTTTTAAAAGTAACGGCGAAGATCTTGGTTATTGTTGTCTCTATTCTCTGATGAACATATGAAGAAAAGCTGCGGGACTCGAACTTATTACACTCTAAATCTCCTCAAGTTTTGCTGGCCGCACTGGTCTTTTTTAGGGGAAAAATAGTTTAGTTTACTTAGTTTATTTGATGTTCAGCAGGGAAATGTGGGGTTGATGAATTGAATTGAATAACTCGTTATAAATTCAGCGGGCTATATATGAGTGATTCCGGTCACTCATATATAGCCTGCTGAATTTATAACGAGCTATTCAATTCAATTCATCAACCCCACATTTCCCTGGTGAATATCAAATCCCTCCCCGGCTTTAAGTTTCTATGGTATATACAACCCTATGAATAACAAAGAAAACCTAGTGAATTGGAAACTAATCTTATTTAAAGAGCGAAAACATAATCAACATTTATGAACCTTTCAAATAAGCCGAATAATAAAAGAGAAATTTGTTATTTTATGAGCTGTCGGCCATTTAGGATTTCGTTGTTGCGTGGCCGGCAGTCGGTTCAAGTTCGCACAATGTCTCTAGTGCAACGAATTTCGGCGCGACGTTTATGAAAGTATTAACACGCTTATTTTACTCAAACAGTTTTATTTTGGAATTTGGAAGCTCGTTTAGATAATAAGATAGGTGTTGGTGTTTCGGTTCAATAGTAAACTTTATTATTGGTAATTTCGATTCAGTTCGGTTCAGGTCGGGTCGTGTCATGTCTTTTAACTAACTTTACAATACTCTTCTCTAAATTTATACATACTTGTGTTTACATAGAGTCAAACTATGTTATGAATGCGAGACTAAACATAGCCCCCGCCTTGAAGCATAATATAGCTTCGAAAAACAAAATAATACAAAAAATGAAGTGTTCTCAAAGTTCAATGACAATGTTCAATAATACTATACGATAAATGTTCAATTATTCATCTTCTTCTAGAATCAACACCAATTTTGATATCGGTCTCACATAAGTTCCATTCTGCGTCTTTRCGGTGACAACTCTGCACTTTCCATCTTGACCAAAATGAAGGTCTTCTACACGTCCAAGAACCCACTTCGCAGGGGGCGTGTTCTCTTCCTTGAGGATCACCAARTCATTTTTCTGTAGGTTTCTTTTCTCTTTCCTCCATTTCACDCGTTGTTGAAGCTGATTGAGATACTCTTTAGAACATCTTTTCCAAAAATGCTGATGTAATTGCTTTAAGTGTTGCCATCTGTTTAAACGATTTACCTTGACTTCAGACAAATCCTCTTCTGGCAATTGGTTCAGCGGTGTTGTTACCAGAAAATGACCGGGCGTTAACGGTTGAAGATCAGTCGGGCTCGACGAAAGAGGAGTGAGTGGTCTTGAGTTCAAACAAGCTTCAATCTGACATAGAGTAGTATACATCTCTTCATAAGTCAAACGTACCCCTCCCCTATCACTTTTGACTTATTTATTTATTTATTTATTTACCAAATAAGTCACGCATTCATTACTGAATATTATGGACTGTAACATAAATAGAAAAAAAAGAATAATAACAGTAAAAAGAAAAGAAAAATAACAATAAAGATATCTAAACTCTTATGAGGTCAGTCACTGAGGCTTTAAAAAGCGCTAGTGTATGGGAAAGTGCTATTTTAGGCGGTAGATTGTTCCAGTCTTTCAGTGTTCGAGGAAAAAAAGAGTATTTGTAGTAATCACGTATTATTTTGGGTAACAAGAATGAATGGCCAGATGCCCTAGTGGCAGTATAAGGTACAGGAATTAACATATCACTATCAGTATAAGCAAGACCATTGTGGAATTTGTATATCAAGGAAAGGCGGGCAATAGCTCTGCGCTGCTTCAGAGTGTACCACCCCAGTTCGTTTAGCATGTTTGTAACACTGTCAGTTCGGCCATAGCAGCCGAGGACCCAGCGGGCGGCTCGCCTCTGCACCATTTCCACCTTAGTAATGTTCTTGATGGTGTACGGGTCCCACTCGGTGGAGCAATATTCGAGTTGTGGTCTGACTAGGGATGTGTACGCTCTTTCCTTGGTGATAGGGGAGCAATGCCGCAGGTTTCGTTTTAGAAAGCCTAGTGACTTGTTTGCCTTGTTTGTAATATTTCTTACATGCTCATTCCACCTCAGGTCGGTTGAGATATGGACGCCGAGGTATTTAACTGATTCAAGCGCCTCAAGGGGTTTGCCGTGAAGGTGATAGTTGTAGATTGTAGGGTAGCGGCGCCTTGTTATACGTAAAATGTTGCACTTGGTGACATTGAATTCCATTCTCCAGGTTTGCTCCCATACTTCCAGGTTCAGTAGGTCTTGCTGCAATTGCGCACAGTCGTCCACCGAGTTTATGGCAAGATAGACGGCTGTGTCGTCAGCGAAGAGGCGCACTCGGGATTTGATGCAGTGTGGTAGATCGTTTATGAAAGCCAAGAACAAAATTGGCCCCAGCACCGAGCCCTGGGGGACACCGGATGTCACAGAAATAGGGCTCGACTTCTCCCCTTCCAGCACCACACATTGGTGCCTATCCTTGAGAAAATCCTGTATCCAGTTTACTACATGAGYATCAATTCCAAAGCTTTTAAGCTTTAGGATCAGTTCGGCATGGGGGACTTTGTCGAACGCTTTAGAAAAATCTAGGACAATAACATCACTTTGGCCACCGCCTTGCATCTCGCRAGCTAAGTCATCTATAAAACCAATCAGTTGGGTCTCGCAAGAGTGGTACTTGCGAAATCCATGTTGGAACTCGTTTAGTAGGTTGTTCAGTTCTAGATGGTGTGAGATGTTCGATACTAGTACATGCTCGAAAATCTTGCTGCAGAGACAAGTCAGAGAGATGGGACGGTAGTTTTCAGGGAGATCTTTTGATCCTTTCTTGAAGACAGGTGTTATATAAGCCTGTTTCCAGGCGGGTGGCACAAGACCAGAGAACAGAGAAGCTCGGAATATGTCACATAAGTAGTATAGTGTGCACCGAATTAACCCCGAAGGTATAAGGTATGGGGGTATTTTAAGGTATGGGGGTATTTTAAGGTNTATCGGCAAGTCTGACCTTTGGTTTGGGATTAGAGATCGTAGGGAACGAGGCCCAGGATGAAAATCAGCAGGTCTCTAGTTAAAGCAATTGTTTGAAACTAGACCTATTCCATTTTGCTGTATAATATTAACCTTTTACAAATGAGTTGGGTAACTATTGTAGCTAATGGTTTTTGAAATCATTAAAAGTGTGAATTAATCAAAATCTGCAAAAAATAAACAATCAAATCTCATTAAACTGCGGGACTGAGTCTTACCTTCAATTCCCATACGCTCCCCTTATGAATGTTCCGTGTTAAGAAATGTGTTTAGTAGTGGATATAACAGGGATAACAAGACTTTTATATAAATTTAAGAAAAAGGGGGCCTAGCTTTACTTTGAGGGATTTTTTGCTATATTGAAATCATTAAAAGCGGGAATTAATTTGCAAAAAAACATAAATCTCATTAAATAGCGGGAGTTATCTTTAAATCCCATACGCTTCCCTAATATAGTACGTCTCATCCGTTCTGTCATTCTTAATTCTGAATGTTCCGTGTTAAGAAATGTGTTTAGTATCGTCAAAGACTATACACCATTGAGGATGGATGGGTTTACAGCTGTTCCGAGTATTTTCGAAAACACACATTTTTCGTATACTAATCATATCATTTACAAGAAAACCACCGAAAACGACGAGCGTATCTGGATCATTTGATGAATTTTTACCTGTCAACATTGACCCATCATAAGACCCATAACCAGAATCACGAGAAAGTCCAGACATCACCCCTGCGGTAACATATGAAGTCAAAACAGTTAGTCACGGACGGATACACAATAAGTTAACTAGAACATGAAATTACACCATACACTCACTCGCCAACTGCGACCAAACCTCTGTGCATGTACGGGCCAATTAGAAATATTCATGGTTTTTGTTCGTATTACTAATTTGAACAATTGAACTCGATTTCTGAGAAATTACACTGTATATACAAGCTCCTTATAAAACAAAACAGTAATGGAAAAGACCCAACCAAAACTGTACATAACAAGAGTTGGTCAGTCTGCTGCACACAGAAATAAATAATTAAAAGAAAAACATCTATCTGCAAGTCTGATCTTTGGTTTGGATTAGAGATTAGGAACGAAGTCCAGGATGAAAATCAGGTCTCAAGTTCAAGCAATTGTTTGAAACTAGACCTCTACTCTAATAGATACACTGATGACGTCAAACATCATATTTTAGGAAATACAATAAAGCATCATGTTCAGYGAGATGTCCTAATAAATCAGTCGTCTGCTCTGAATGAAGTGTTGAGTGTTTTCACTTACTTTTTGTTTGGACTTCGATTCGTTCCATCAATGCTTGAATACTTTCTACAAAATAAAGGTCCATTGGAATTTGTGGTTCTGTGGTTTTCTCGAAAGAACTTTGGTTAATCGAAAGTGTACGTAATGAGTATTTTGTATTTGTAAGTACACAGGAACAAATTAGAATAATTAAAGGGATTAATCAATTGATTTACCTTTGAATTCCAGACCATGTTCTGATTTCCTTTCTGTTTAAAATCAAAACAATTATTGCCCTATTTTACGACGACGCGCGTCACATTAAATTTAATCATTCCACTGTTCTAAGACTTTTAATGACGTCAAGGATTATGACAATCAGGAAAGAAGAATGGCGGAGAGAAAAAAGGAAAAAAATGATAAACAAAAGTGATGATGGGTTGATGGTATCCAATCTGACTAAACTACTTACCAAAGATGTGAATCATGTTTGCCATTTTTTTCTTCAACTTACTCAGCTCTTTCTTGATATCATTGAGGATTTCATCAAGGATAAACGGCTGATCACTCTCTGTACTCTTCACTTGAATATCTGACGACAAAAATTCACAAACTATTTTAATTATTACCAACTTGATAGAAACATAAAATTGCTTTTTAACCCCTCTATTGAAATCCTGGATACATGTGAGTGTTTTTGTTTTGTTCTGCTCATCAAGATATCTAGAGATCGTATAAATATTCACGTAACTATATATAAGGAATACTTATTACCATTGAATTGAAGCAGCACTCGATCCAGGGTGTCAACATGGCTATCTACTTGTGATTTCAGTTCAGTAACATCAGAAGCAGTCGGCAGATCCTCTGGTAGTAAATGTCTGACGTCTCGTAGAAGTGACATCAATTGTTCCATTAACCTTCTCTCAGATCCACCATGTAACTTTGATGTGGCTTGTTCCAAATAAGCTTTTGTTATACGAGACACTATGGACAATATGACTAATGTCGCTTCAGATGAGAGTTTGTTGCCAGCCTTCAGTTTATTAAATGCAGCAGTCATCATGTCTATCACTCCGTCCATATCGTAGAATTGCACATTATATTTTTCAACCGAAGCTACCATGGCTTCAAGATGTGACTGTAATCGTGAAGTAATATCAGAAGACTGTGGGAGTAGAGATGACATTGCAAGTATAATAGATACGGCGTGACTGAGTACTTCACGCTTGCCATGGCGAAGAGCTCTTTCAGACACTAATTTCATTAACTCGGCCAAACAAGAGAGGACATTGTTCTTCAAATCACTGTTAAGATCAGTCCAACTAATATTCTTCAAAATAGCTTCACTGGTGCAAAGTATACCTTTAACAACGTCATTACTGATCTCTGGATGTTTAGATAAATGCTGAATTACACGTTTTATCATTCTTTCCAGATCTGACTTCAGCTTGTTTTTAATACCATCATCAATGTTGTGCCATGGTAGTTTCTCCAGTACTTTAGTGTTTTCCTGCATCACTTGAATCAATACATCACTGGTCAGATCAGTATTGTTAAGTCGATCACCAACCCGAGTCGTCATAGTTTCTATTCTTGAGATCAGCTTTATTTTACTACCATCATCAAGTTCATCCCATGGTAGTTTTTGCAATGCCTTTGTGTTTTCTTGCATCACTTGAATCAATACATCAGTGGTCAGGTCAGAATGGTTAACAAGTCGATCAGCAACCGAAGTCATCATAATTTCAATACCTGAGGTCAGCTTCATTTTACTTCCATCATCAAGGTGATACCATGGTAGTTGTTGCAATGCCTTTGTGTTTTCCTGCATCACTTGAATCAATACATCAGTGCTCAGGTCAGAGTGGTTAACAAGTTGCTCAGCAACCGATGTCATCATAATTTCAATACCTGAGGTCAGCTTCATTTTACTTCCATCATCAAGGTGATACCATGGTAGTTGTTGCAATGCCTTTGTGTTTTCCTGCATCACTTGAATCAATACATCAGTGCTCAGGTCAGAGTGGTTAACAAGTTGCTCAGCAACCGATGTCATCATAATTTCAATACCTGAGGTCAGCTTCATTTTACTTCCATCATCAAGTTT